GGGGGGGGTGAATATGATTGGTGTCTAAACTGATGTTGGTACCAGACTTAAAGGTTTGCAACTTCCATAAACTTACTAAAGCAAAGTTTGACTTTGAAGCCAATCTACAGCTAAGAGTACTACTTTAAAAAGGGTACTATTTAAAAAATACCAAGCGAAAATTCGAACTAAAATTTGAGGTGAGATACCACATGGGATTCTCTGACTCAAGCTGCTGGCAATGAAAATGAACTGAGGGCATTGGGGAAGCTCTGTTCTTGAACAGCTATGCTCGAGACTATGTGTGCACCACCCTAGTGGGTACTGTAAAGCAAAATTTTCCAGCTCTGTGTTAGGTATGCATGCACCTGAGTGACATACATATCTGCAACAACCCAAAAATGACAGTTTTAAACACAAAGAGTTCTAGAAATGCTTACAGAAATGGATTTCTTTTATAAAGATTCTCAAATTTTCATTCTTTTTATCCTTAAGGAAATCATGTATAGCTAGGAAATGCTTTTGTTAGTTACTTATAAGCTCAAAGTCATTGTTTATTCCTTAAATATTTAAGAGCACAAACTTCTGTGTGAGTCATTTACAAATGTTTTGCATCTAAATTCAGAAAGTTAACGTAATAATTTCCTGATACTTTTACGTGAATAGTGAGATATTTTATGTACCAATATGGAATCCACTTACCATGCTATAAATAGATATAAAACAAGCTACTTGAACATAAAAATATTTACATTGGTGATGGAATTAATGATCTGGCAATGCCTAAAGCAATTTGTTCAAACTCAGGAAGACAAAAAGAACCATGCCAAATATTAATACCGTTTAAAGACTCTATGGCAGTATATGCACACTCGGTCCCAAGAAAGAGGTCACCAAGCCACGTGGACTAAGGCTGTTAATCAGTTAGCTTCACCTCACCACTTACTGTTAACCATTGAGAGCTGGAGTGGGCAGGGGGTGTTCCAGCCCAGGTGGAACTGCCCTTGTATGAGGCAGGCCTGGCCCAGGTGTCCCCCAGTTAATCTATTAACCAATTAAACTTAACATTTAACCAGTTAACCAATTAAATGGGATTTTACTTCTCTAATGTGGATACAGCTATTACAGCTCCTTATCTGTCAGTGACTTAAGTCAGTATGTCATCCCAAGGGAGCGCAGCCTAATGGCCAGTACCAAGGGAACCATCGCTACAAAGGTGGCAGCCCTGGTGTGGTGGGGGAGAGGGAGAAGCAATCCATGAGGTTTCTGGGTCCTCAGGCTCCATAGCATAAGCCACTCCCAGGGCTCTGCTAGCCCAGAAGACATGTTCCAGTTTCCTAGGTCTCTAGCTCCTGCTGTCAGGATCTGTGGTTAGTTTACCTGTGGAGCTCCTGCCACAGGTCCTCCCTCTCCATTGTTCAGCCCAGAATCAACTGAGTAGCTCCCTTTTATACAAGCTGCCCAGTAGGGCTGGGGGGGATGGGACTTTCTCCACCCACAGTGTATTAACCCCCTTCTGGACCAATGTGGCATATGCACACCCTGTCAGATTCTTAAAAACTGAGAGAAGTAAAAGGATTTCAAAATGATGAAAATAGCAAAACTAAGTACAGCCTGTGGTTTGCTGTCAAATATAAAAGTAATATAACGAAGTTGAATAGCTGCAGCCCTATTGCTTACACATTCCTGGATTTCATATTCTGAGCTGAAGATGCTACCAATGTTCTTACATATAACCCCACTGATTTCTTTACCGGCTCAATTATATTTGGATCCAGTCATGCTCCTGAAAAAGGTACTGCCACCCATAGTAAGGTTATGAAAGCCAAAAATTTGGATACTAGATCTTGATACTCTTCTTAGCTTCCTCTTGTTCACCTCATCTCACTCAAGTGAGCAAACTAAAGCAGCAACAAGACAGCTAAAACACAACCACACTGCATCAAGAAACAATATTCCAGTATAGCACTGCAACAATATCACTGAGAATTCAACATTAGCGATGAGCATATGTAAAAGCACTAGCAATAGATTAGAGTTACAACACTAAAATCATTAAGGTGATAGAGTAAGCACTATGGTAGATTAAGATTCTAACAAAGTTTCCTGTTAAGCAAAAGATTGTTTAGACTACGCATTCCTGGAGAAATACAAGCTAATCTTAGTAAACAAAAAGAAACTGTAGGATTTGAGTACAAAATTCTCAATTTTGATTAAGTTTCCTGTTTAAAGACTGCTACCTACAGAGAGTTTATAAGAAAAACATGACTCTTATACAAAAGAGTAATTCCTGAACTTATTCCTTTAGGATATACATTTTAGCATTTTCGAGGATAAAGTTAACTGGCACGCAATATCTCATTTACCCGTACAGTTAGATGATCCAAATATTTTAATTGTATCTGATGGGGAAGAAAGATAGAAAGATCTCTGAAACCCTAGAACTAGGGATCTGGTTTTAACAGGGAGAACTAAAAGATTCTCTTAGTTCTTACTTTTTGAAATGTCATTATTAGTGTTTTTGTAACTCTCAATAAAATAAGCTCAGTTCAGATGCACATGGAGACTACAAGGTCATTCTTAGAGCTGTACTAAATCTTGCTTAAGATGAAGATTAAAAAAATCTTACCTCATTTTTAAGAATCATGTCAGTGTGCATATGGTAAGATTTTAGGAGCTCCTCAACAGAATGCCTGGAATACAGGATTAATTACTGTACACGAGTGACGTTCATACTATACCACCTTCTCATTAAAGGCAAATACAGCAGATGAGCACTTGATCACAAAGGATGTAAATTACATATGGTTACCTTGAAATAATTTCTCTGAAAGGGTTTTCTATTTTGTGGAGGTGTTTTGTTAAATTTGTAGGAGTCCTATCATCTTCTTCCTAGTAATGAGAAAAACATGAGTAATTTCAATCAACTCCCCACTATCCTCCTTGATTCCTTTTACTGTAAAGCAACTCTCTGGCCTTATAACAGGAAACTAAGTTTCTCTTTGAACTAAAGAGAGACTAATGGGGGGGAGAGGAAGGAGGGAGGAAAGGAGATAGTATCTGACATAAAAAAACACTTCTCTCAAATTATAAATGTTAACAAATTTTAGATACAGTATTTTGTTAAAAAAAACAGGGCCCGAGATACTAAAAAATGGATACCTAAAGTTATGTTGCTAAATCCATATTTAAGCTAAGGATGAATACGTGCAGTCAAGTGAGCGGAGAACTCGACTACTCATTCCCCCCCTTGCTGCCTCTGTATGAGAGGCAGCAATGGCGGGGAGGGGACAGAAGTCGATGCTGTGAGGAGCTGGCTTAAAAGCTGGTTTCCCCTAGCACCATCTCTACCAAAGGTGGGGGAGAGGAAGGGAGAGGGGAATAGGAGAGGCTGTTCCGGCAGCAGCCCCTACCTGCAAACTGAGACCGAGCAGTGCTGGCTTGTGCTGGTCTGGGACCATTGCACGTCTACATTTTAAATGTAGTAAGAGCCATCTGACTCTTACTACATTTAAAATGCAAAGACGTAGCAGTCCCACAGCTGGTGTGAGCCGGGACTGCTCAGTCCAGCTCGAGCTAGGACTGCTCAGTCCTGGCTCACGCCAGCTCTGGGAGTCACCTGCACTGCAGCAGAGTCTCTACATTTAAAATGCAGAGCCATAATGCAGGTGGCTCCCGGAGCTGGAGCAAGCCAGGACTGAGCTGTCCCCACTCACACCAGCTTCAAATCACTGCATCTCTGCCATTTTAAATGCAGTAAGAGTCAGACTCTTATGACATTTAATACGTAAAGCTGCAGTGGTCCAGAGCCAGCATGAGCCGGGACTGCTCAGTCCCAGCTCATGCTGGCTTTGGGAGCTATCCCTGCTGTGGTTCTGCAGAGTGGCCCCCTTATTGACTAATCATGTCGATGATAAAAATTGTATCGACTAACAAGTATCCAAATAATCGCTCTTTAAGATCCTTAATTTAAGCCCCTAAGTAAGTGAACCAACGTGCACCTAAGTAAGTGAACCACTCAACAATTCTCACTGATTGCAAAGTGTAGCTCCGTAAGTGAACCACTCAATTCTCACTGATTGCAAAGTGTAGCTCCCACTACACAATATCTTCCATCTGAAGTCCTAAAGCACTCTGAAAACAAACTGAACCTTGACATCTTTTAAAGGAAGGAAACAGATTGACTCCTCTCTGTCTCCATTTTTTGAAGAGTCACACGAGAGCCCAGATCTCTCCTTTGTTGTATGCTTTAGCCAGAAAAGAGTTTTCCTTCTAGAAATATAAGCCAAAAATTGCAAGACATTCTGGAACAGATTTTCCATGAAACAATTGGATTTGAGGCCGTAGAATCTACTTTTCATGAAAGCGAGTTTAGTATTCATTTGTTCATGACCTGTCCAAAGTGGAATCCTACAAGTGGCTGCTGTTTGTGTAATTAGCTAATCTCTGCAATCATTAATCAGCCTAAGTCAATAGTACTGTACTGCTTTCTCGGAAGGAGCGAAGCGTCCCAACTCAGAGGGAAAGATAAGCCCCTTCTCTGCTCCCTTCCACACAAAACATCAATTCCCACCTGAAAAGGTAATTTAAAATGGAACAGTGATCCATATGCATTTTAATTTAGTTCTTTGATTCAGAGGAAAAAATGAGGAAGAATGGCTCTTGCGCAAGATGGGGCTTTTGCGCAAAAAGGAGCCGTCTACTCAGCTCCTTTTTGCACAAAAGCCTCTTGTGCAAAAGCAGCTGCTAATTAATTATGCAAATGAAGCATGGCAATATTCCACCCCACACTTCATTTGCATAAGCTTTTCCGGAAGAAGGTTAGTGTAGCCCTAGCCACAGTGATGTGCATGAGCAAGCGACATTTAAATGCATGTATCTAATTAACTGTGTATCTGCTGAAATTTTTAGTGGTTACATTGTTACACATGGGGCAGCAGCCATCTCCCCAAGATCCAGTGGATGCTGGGAGCCAGCTCCCGGTGAGCACCAGCTTTAGCCTGCCACCCTGCTCCCAGAGAGCCGCTGAGCACAGGGAACTGGCTTTTAAGCTGACTCACTGCATGTAGCAGGTGATTCACTGGGAGCCAGACCAGGAGATGTGTCTAGCCACTGTAGGTAACCAATAAGCTCATGCATATCAGTTACCTGTTTAAATTACTACACTCTTACATCCCTAGAATAAACTGGTCTGTTACTCATGTGACAAAGTTATAATTCAATCAGTTCGCTAACACTGGCCAACACTTCCATCCCCTTTAATCATGTTAGCAAGCATATAAAGAGCATAAAACCATTACTATATTTTGTGATGCTTTCAAAGTCCAATTTAGAAGTTTAAGGAATTATATTAATTTGTATATCCTTTATGAAGTTTTTATCTATTTGACTGTATATTCCCCCTTGTTTGCCCTGCCAAAACAAAAAGTTACTCTCTCACACTCACACTCACACACCAATATAAAAATCAGGATTATTGTAATTGGGAGTATAATTTATACTTACTGTTCGTGCCAGATCTCTGCATACTACGCTATGGGTCAAGAGCTGCAGTTTAATCTCTGAATCCCATTTTCGACAGTTCTGAATGTATTCATGACTTCCTACACAGTGCTTACTGTTAAATAAATGAATGCTGTAGTTACCTGACATTTCAAAATATGCAATAAATGTTTTTTCAAACAGCACTCAAATATTCAAGATAGCCCAGTCTGGGTCCTCCTCATCCTTTAGAAACACTTTGAAAGTCCAAGATCTAAATTAGACAGTAATGTATTGATTCAGCATTGGTCCTGCAGAATGTGTCAGAATCACTATTCAGAATTTTCAGCCATTAAAGAGGATTAAAACTGGTTCTGCCACAGAAGCAAAGCAGTCTGAAAATTTAACACATTACAGAAACCCAGTAGAATGCATGGTCAATTGCCAATTCCAAATTAAGTATTTAAGAGTCCACCGTAATTCTAGTTTAAAAAAACATTAATTCCTTCTGTGCCTGCAGATTCATTTACCAGATTGCTGAGAGCTGAATAGCAGCTGAAAACTATGCTCTTCTTTCACTGTCGTCAAAGACCAGAGAAGCCTTTTCATTCAATA